ATTTATCTGTGTCACTAAGTTGAAAGAAATCGTCGGTAAGAAGGTTCTCTTACATTGCCTTAGGACAAAGATTTTGTTTCGATGCGATTACCAAATATGGCAGCACACCACTGGATAAAGGAGAGAAGCTCTGCAAGACCATACTACTCACCGCCATAACTCATGCATCGTTTTAAGATAGAGGCGAAAATTTGAAGACATTAGATCTTGATAGGGCTGATCTCCAACGTGCATGTTGTGACACTCACAAATACTAGTTTATATAGTAGACATCAACTCACTTATGCATATGCAGAGTTTGTATGGAATTCGAGCTTAACTAGCGGGAAAAATGAAGCAACCAAAATGTGGCAAACTCCGCCCCTATTGACCTCAAGCACCTCCCACCTGCACAGTTGCAAGCCACGCACATGTGAAAGTACACCTATTAATTTCAGCGTTCGAAGATGCATTGACACCTGAGATCTAGAAAATTTAGTCTGAGTTTGTCCGAGAACTTTTTTACCAACCCAATAAATCATTCCAGACTTGTAGATATGAAATTAATGCTCTACTCAATTTACTTAGTAAGTTTTGCTTAAATCCCGGTGGTAGGTGCAATTCGGTGATGTTGTTGCAGGAATAAGCTTGAAATACGTGAAGTTTCACCTTTGAGACCTTTTTTTGACATTTCCAGCTGATTTTCACACCCCATTTTCAAGCAAACACAATCTATATGATACTGCTGTCTAGATAAAAGCATAAAAAAGGAAATGTTCAAAATTTCTGTGTGCAGATGGACAAAAATGATGGTGAAGTATGCGCGAGTTATTGACACCCACCAGCTATCGTTCCTCTTGCTCGCCACCCCTTAGAGACAGAAGTACGCAATCAAATGAAGATGCAAAAAGTGGGATTATTATCAACTACGCATATAGTACATTTTGCATTTTCCTATATAAAGAAATCTCTAAGAAAATACAGAAATTTTTTCTTTGACAAAATCAAAATATAAGAAAAACCAGACGTTATGTAAAGCTTCTGAGAGAAGTTCGGTTGGAATGAAACAATCTGACTAGAAAGAATGTTCATAAACCTAAATCGAAAGTAAAAAGGGGTGGTGGATCTTTCGACATTTTTAGCAAGCGAATTTCACATAAGTATGATTTAAGCGCGTTCTTCATCAGCTTATACTGTCACATGACAACAATAATTGCTTTTGACATTTAGGTTATGATTTGAAGGATTTATTGAATCTTAAAAAAAACTTATAATTTTTGAAGTTTTCGTGAAAGATTTGTGTTTCAGCTCAAACGAACGCAAAGACCAGCTAACAGTTGATTTTTAAGAAATACCGTGGCGTCTTGTCAAAAATTCTGATTTTCCCAGAAAAAGAAAAAACACTTTACTAGCGTAATCCGCAAGTCGATCTGCTCCAGCATATGAATGTAGCCATGTTTTTGTCTATTGTGCAGATGTGCTAGCGCTTGAGAGGGTGCTTAGCTTCCGATAATATGCCATGTCAATCTTATTATTAGTAGCAAAATGTTGCAGGAGCTTGTTTCTGAAAAACAGTGCAGTCTTCTGAGCGACATGTAATAGCGAACAAACTTCAATTTTGGAAAAGGCAATTTTTTCTCATCAAAAAAGTTCATCTGCAGTGACAGTTTGATGATAAAGAAGGGTGTAAATGCAAGTAAAGAAGAAATAGGTGACACTGAACTTTTCAGAAACTAATTTCAGACCAAAAGATGGACAAACTGTTGGAGAATTCTTCTCGCTGCTTCATTAACTGGTAAAAAGATAGGTAATGAGTTTTGTATGTCTGCACTAACATGAGGGCGAGAGTGCACGTTGTAATCTCACAAAAATTGCTTCAAAGGTAAAAAATTTAGAATTTGGAAGCAATGACGTCAAATAAATTGAATTTTGCCGATCACGTTGCGCATGGTATCGCTCTATGTTTGATCCTTGCTTCAACAAGCGTACTTTCAAATTTTTTCCCTTTTTTTGATAGGATTGCCTGTATCTTCCTTCTGTACCTATCTTTTTATTTTAGAAATCACCCAAGTTGCTTAGAATTGGCCGATAGAGAAAGCTAATCGTATGAATCAAGGACGGATGGAGAGTTCAAACTAGCTATTCATTTTTCTCCCCATCCTCAAGCAGCAAGTTTTGCGCCGTTCAACATTCGCCAACAGTTTCAAAGCAATATGTTTGTAGATTTGCTGGCTTTCTAAAACTTATGCTCCCCATCAAGAAATCAGAATGAATGTATAAATAGTGATAGTCTCTGAATTTGAACTTGTTCTGAGGAAAAATAGTTTTTTTTTATGTTTAAGCTCAACAGCCACACTGCACCGGAAAGAATTGAGACGTGTACAATTTGTAAGATTTAAAGCTTAGCTTTCATAGTATAAACGATAGATTCAAAACGTAAATGGTTGTGAATCATGAAAGTTATGGCTAGAGTAACTACTACTTGATATATACATAAAGAAAGAAAATTGCTGCGCTTGGGAAATGCTGTATAAGCATCAGGACTGATGGTGAGGTCATTGTCGTCAGGTACGGCTGTATATCGAATTAAGAAACTGTGTAAATCATGAGTTTGTACATGGTCATGGCTAGTCAGCCTCCAGTCAAGAAGGCCATACTTTGTTGGATAGAAATCTTGCCCTTCATTCGCACAACTTCTACAAGTGCATGTTAGTTTTTGATTTCAATCAAAGCATTTGATTTTTCAAGCTCTGACGGAAAGGACACTTCGTGCATGAGCCACAACTTTTAGAAAACTACTCCTTATCTTCGAAGCATAAATATGTAGCTCGGAGCTTCGTTCCTAACTTATTCAAACTTCTTGAACTTTCGGTATTCTTCATTCAACCTCATCTTGTTACCTCAGTCCTAACCTTAGAACTATGCTCAACACATCTGAATATTACTTGCTCATCTCAATTACACAGCTCGTTTACAGTCTTATAGTCTCATATAATCTCGATACTGCCAAATACCAATAATTTACTAGTTGATTGATGATTTTCATATAATATTTACTAATAAAGTCACCAATGTTTAAAGTTGGCCATTGGCTTAATTCGCGTGGCTGAATATACAAACCAAAAGGCGAGCAATCACCCAACAAGTCAATCGCGATAAAGAGGAAAAGGAGCCACTTTAATTCGCATAGTATGCTTTTGTATCCAAAAATATTTTGATACAGTTTATAGCAAATGACTTGCACCAACGCTGGTCGACGCTGCTTCAGCGGTAACCAAAAAAGGGGAGGAGGAGGAAAATTCTGCAGGAGAGTTACTCAAAATTCTCGAGTTACCCAGTCAATACGCCATCAAATACAATGGTCCGTTAAAAAACAGAGGAAAGACTTTCCAATTGAAAATAGTCACTGGATCTGCATGCAAGATCGTAGACCAAATCATCAGCGCATCATAAAGCGTTGTTCAAGGACACCTAAAGCTTTTTGGAAATAAAATTAGAAAAAATAGTAAATGAAAAAAGGGAAATAGAAAAAGTCAAATAAGAGGTGTTTGGAAGAAAGCCCGGTAGCAGTTTTTGCGGAACATTAACTTTGTAATGCGGCTATAAGGAAATAACTTATAATGGGAGCCTGAATTCCGCTCAGAGCCTTCTGCATCGATGCGACGGAAATGTCGACCGGATACCCGACGTGATGCTGTCACGCCTTTACGAACACACAAGCAAGCAACTCATTTATTTACTTCACATTAGCTTTGAAGGTGTCTCTTGTCACAAATTTCTACAGCTCTTAGACTAGAACAAATGTTCAGCTTGAAGCTGCTTTTAGAAGCAGAAACCTCAAAGCGACTTTCGCCTTGATAATTTGAAGGCTTGTACATAAGAAGGCGTGGCGAGAGCGGCTGATCAGCCAATCGCTAAGCGAATGGCGAAAACACTCAAACACTACCCACGTCTCAAGAAAATAGAGCTTTTGCATGCATCCATCTATTACATTGAAAGGGACAGACAAGTATTCTATCATTTTCAAGACTACGAAAACCCAGGTTCAACTAACAATCAGCACGTCCACAAAGAGCAAATAGATATAAAAACCATCTCGAAATTTTGCAGTGTTAGGCCTTCAGGAATTGATATTAAAACCTACCGTCACATTGCATCTCAGATTTCTTCTGAGAAATCTGGAATGAAAGGAAAGGAAAAAAATTGGCTTATGGACAAAAAGATATTAACCAGGGTACTGAACTTCAAAATCCGCCTATGAAATGCTATATTCCAAGCATCCAGTTGAGAAAATTGTTAGAAGTGGGCATGTTAGATGGGGGAATAGATGTAGAAGATTGAAGGTTACTATTCAGAATGAGTAGTCTTTTGATTCTTAGACGGTCCACACTTCGTCAGAGCTAGAAATGGAAGCAGCCACCAGCGCAAACGCTATCTTTCCCCTTGAAATTTATGCGCTGCTCATTTATTTTAATCATCGGCCTTGGAAGTTTTGGCTGAAGCCATTAATCTCTAGAAAAACTTCACACATCGCATCGATTCTTGAGCAAAATGCGATTTGAGGAAGCGGTATACAAAAACGAAAAATACTTACTTCTTTGGATGTCGGCTCGCAAGAAGAATACATATTATCGAAAAATAAAGTAAAAAGATAAAGTAAAGGAAGAAAAAGAAGACAACCATTTCAAGCAGCAATTTTTTGGTTTTAGAAAGCATCTTTTATTGTAAAACACAACTTTTGAAGGCTAACCTTTGATTCAACAGGCTTGGCGGTTGGAAGGAGGGGATTTGTGGCCTAATTAAGGCTGCTCGTGCCCGCGACGCAGTCTGCGTTTCTCCCGCGCGCGTGCTCTCTGATCATTATCTGGCCTTACAATTAGTTACGCCACAAAGCCCCGCCTTCCAGCCGCCAAGCCAGTTGAATCAAAGGGTATAAAAAAGTGAAATGTGTAATTTTCAATTTATCAAAACACATAATCCACGTCAATTCACATTTATTAACCTAGAATCTATTCAACTTTGGACACACGCAACTCTAGTGAAGTCGACTTTGAGAACATTGGCAATTTGACATAGCATACAAAAAAGAAATTTTTTCGCTAAGAAAAAAACAACAAGTACTTTGTACATGAACTTTCTATGTCAACGACAACTCTTACACGACTATCATTACGCTAATATAAACATGAAAATCGAAGAACATACGTAATAAATAGTCATTCGAGATAAATAGCTTTAGCAGAAACGCTAAATAGTCGTCAGCAATGTTGCTACAAAAAATCATCGATGAACTCGATAAGGGTGGGAAAACAATGGAGAAGAAAATACAAGCTAAAAAATTAATCACACAAAATAGCACGAAGGGGAAAAATGAGGATTAGGCGTCGGTAAAAGAACTATGGAATCTCGTCGATATCCAAGGAATTATGCTTTTTCTTATGACGGTGCTCCTAAAGAGAAATCTCAATAAGTTTTTCACTTCAACAGTTTTTTTGTAAATCGGAGGCAGTAAAAGAAATTTGCTATGTGTGTAAAAATTTGAAAAATTTGACTCACATGTTTGTCGAGTGATCTGCCACGAGCAACAGCTTTGATTTGTTTGAATGTCCTACGTTTTTCCTTCATATCCGGTGGAAGTTTCGTTTTTTCGGTTTCATCACGCTCCGATGCGGCTCCTGAATTTTGATTTTATTGGAGTTTTATTCGATTTGCAAACGAAAAATCAATTTTTATATTCCTAAAAAATCATTTGAAAATTCAAAATTGAATGATCGAATTCTCGTTTTGCGATATTGGAGGCTCACTTTTCCAAACTAGCTTTCCCCCTACAGTATGACTACAGTACTCTAAGATACTATCCTACCTTCAGAAAGAATTTTTTTCTTCTTTAAAGTGTACCAGCGTTTTCTTACTTCCCAAGTTCTACACATTTGATTTTCTTCGTTAAAACATAACTAAGGTTTTCAAATGGATTTTCTTCATTACAGTATAACTACAGTACCCCAGAATGTCATGAGAACCAAGACTATTGATTAAGGTTCACAGTGCTCACATTCATGATAGAAGTCTCGTAATCAAGGAGCATTCAATTTTTTCTAAAATCCATGTACTACAAAATTACTTCAGCTTTCTTTTTATGACAGACGAAGTTTTTACCCAATACATTAAAGTATGAATACAGTATCCACGAACCTATATGGAACGTGAACCATGGAGCAATCTAGACCGTTTACTTCTGTTTTTTAAGTGTCTACTCTATGGAATTACTCTATTTTTTTGAAAATAATTCATTTTTTTCCTGTCCAAACTCTAAAGATCTATAATATTTTCGCCCTTCCCTTACAAGTGACCGATGTTTTTGCTTTACTTTAGATCTTGTTACATTGTACCTACAGTACACCTACAGTACTAGGGAAGACAAACGATAAGAAATGCCCTATTAACTTACTTCTTTCCTGATGTTTTTGATGACGATATTTTCGATAGCTGTATCTCCATCGTGCAGCCTCTTCGGCGGTCATTCTCGGTGCAGTTTTTCCGAAGTTTTTATCTCTCGTTTGGAAAGCGCGAAGTACGCGAAGATGTTGGCCCATCAAAAACATTCCGCGCATCCATAACGACTTTCCGGTACGACGAACTGTCAACGCGCGTGATCTAGCTCGTACGTTATAGTCGCCGTTGATATGGATCTTCGAGGGTGCAACCTGGAAATGTATTGGTTTTAGATATTTTTCTCGCTTTTTTATTTGTTTTTTTGGGGGGGGGGGGGGGGGGAAGACAGGGAAGCGAAAATTTTGACACCAACCTCTCCTCTTCCGTACTTCCATGTCTTAGGCAATTTCTTGCTAGGGATCGTTGCTACAACTTGTCCCCAAGCCAATGTCGACACACCCAATGCGAGACAAACAACCCACTAAAACCACACTGCGCTTAATCTCACACTTTTACGAGGATTATGGTAATACCGTACCTGTGTGCCGTTCAGAGGCGCAGTGGAGAACCATGCACCTCCAAATTGTGTGATGAGAATTTGTCCGATGAACGTAGAAAGCCAAATCACACAAAACACTCGATTTTTGAGAAGACCCTGTTATGGAACATTTGTGAGAACTGGTCCTTTTCAATCAATAATTAGTGCACAAACCTTGAAGACGTTTCTCTCGCCATGCACTTTTCGAGCATTAATTTCGTTGAAGAGAGTCATCATTACAAAGGCGTTAAATACGATTGTGAAATGTTGTGAAGGTGGGGCAAAGAGAGGGGCGTACAGGCCTGACTTGATGTTGAAGATTCGATCACCTAAATAAGCAAATTAGAGAGATGTAGTACTGTAATTATGAGATACTGTAACTGGCTGCGTAAAATTTTTTGGGATTTTTATCGAGAATCATTATAAGAACCAAAGAAAACTCCAGGAAATTTCGTAGAAAATTTTATGAAATTTTGTAAATGCTTACCGTAGTAAAAGATGGTAAACAAGATCACGAGCTGGTAAATCGCATGACAGAGAATATTCTTGACCATGGTACGAGAGATCAATGACTTTTTCCTGGAAAATAAGGAATGAAGACGTACAGCATAAATCAGTTGACTAGTTGAGTTAATTGCACTAATTTTCGCATTTGCACACCAGCAGGACTATAAAGATAAACGATCCTCGTTCTATTTGTAGAAGTTTTTTAGTTACTTTGTATTGTCTCTGTGGCCCTCCGACCGTTATAGTAACTATACGAAAATTATGCGTCATTTCACTGCTCTGCTAATCCAAGAATCGGTGCAGTTACACAAAGACTGGTTAAACAGTTTAATTCGAGTTTCATTTACCCTAACTTCACGCGTACAAGGCGCGGGGTGGTCCTAGCTTTCATCGACCAGCCCGAACACGGCAAAGGACTTCGCAACCAAAGGAACCCCATACCGTGCTGCGTTTTGCCTGACGAATCGTGCGGCATAAGGATCGCTTCTTAAAACAAGCTGAGCAGCTCGATGAAAGCTAGAACCACCCCGCGCCTTGTACGCGTGAAATTAGGGTAAATTTTTTTTGTTTTTTTTTAGTTTAATTCTTTTACAATTTTGAAAAAAGGAATGTTAGGCTCTTACCTTCCGTAGGGCTTCCTGTTCAACAAATTTTCGGAGGGTACTTCAGTTGCAAGTGCTAGCGAAGCAAGAGTATCCATAATGAGATTGATCCAAAGCATGTGAACGGCCTAAAAATAAAAATCAGCTACTATTATCACTATTATCGAATAAAAACTAATCCTTTGGTAGTCCTCAACACCAAAAAAGGTAATAGTAGCATCGCAAAACTCATCTGCTTCTAATTTTTCAAAGGTTGGTTTTTTAGCTGCACCAGATTTTATTTCGTACTGGAACCTTACCATATGTCTTTATTCACAAAAAAATAATAAATTTCCAGTTTCGGAAAGGATCCAAATGAAGTTCAGAGTGGAAACGTAATAGAAGCTAAGTCACCAAGAATTCCCATTACTATTTGTAATTCTTCAAAATCTTGACAGTAAGCACCCTACTCTTATCAACCCATAACAGGTAAATAATTTCTTGAAGTCAAGCATTTTACCTTCAACGGAGAGTCCGATACAGTGACTGCACCGATGAATGCTGTAAGAACGGCGACAACATTGACGGTCAATTGGAATTGTAAGAATTTCGAGATCGAATCGTACACATTACGACCCCACATCACAGCCTAAAAAAATAATTTCTTCCAAAAGGAAACCTGCCCAAAAATTGAAATTTGTAAAAAACCAATTTTTTTGAATTGTAACTATCCTTACCTTAACGATAGATGTGAAGTTGTCATCAGTGAGGATGATGTCGGAAGCCTCTTTAGCGACATCTGTGCCGGCTATGCCCTATTAGAACACGATGGATCACACTCTCTTTAATCACTGAAAATTTTTACGAACCATAGCAAAGCCAACATCGGCTTTCTTCAATGCAGGACCGTCATTAGTGCCGTCACCGGTTACAGCAACGATTTCCCTGGAATAGAACATTCATGGTCGTTTTCCCTCCAGAACCGCGACAAAACGCGACGACTTCCAGATTAGTATTTTTTGGCTAATTTTTGCTTTTTTAATTCAACAATATTTTACACAAAACAAGAACTTCTTATTTTACCTCTGCGGTGTAGCCTTGCTGTTTATGATACCCTTGACTAAAGTATATTTGTCCGTCGGTTGAGCTCTAGCCAGTACGCGAAGACGAGGCCAAACCTCGTCCAACTTCGCTTGCGATACTTTCCCGTCAGGACCACGAATTCTGAATACTTTGTATTGTATAACTTTATTGAAAAATTGAACAGAAGACGAAGTCCGACCTCTCGTTGAATTCCTTGCCTTCAAGGGCTAAGAAATCATCTCCTGGTTCAAGAATTCTGCAAGTCATGGCGATGGCTCTGAAAATCACAGATTTATTCTGTGGCCTATTCTTCAGTTATATTTTCTAAGATTTTATTTATTTTCATTGATTTACTCATTAATTTCATTTTTTGTAATATTTCATGCAATCTTTTTTGTTGATAACTTCATTTGTTTTTTGTCATGAATTTCATTTTTTGTAACCGTTTTTTATTGTTTCGGTCAGTCGTCAGAACATTTCTCAAACATTTTATGCATTTTATCTTACATGAAAAGCTGTGAAAATGAGTACGGTAGAATGGAAGAGAAAAAAAATCAAATTTTCTATTTTTCATTTAGTTTTACTTTAAAGAGCATCTAGCCTTGATATTCGGTACCTGCCATCAAATTTCCTATTTTTAGTGCGTATATATTCATCAATAAAATATTCCCTACCTAGCCGTGTTGATGTTATCACCGGTAACCATACGAACCGTTATACCAGCTCTTTTGCATTTCTCAATAGCTTGAGGTACCTCTGGTCGTACAGGATCCTGAAAAATCGATATATTGATTAGCCCCTGATAGTGACAGGATATGCAGGTTAACATACTTGTATTCCACAAATAGCGATACCAACAAAATTATTGGATATCTTTTCTTCGTCGTCCCAGTCAATGTCCTCATCCTTATCGAATGATGTCTGAAAAAAAAGTTTGGTTACTGTAGGCTTACTGTAATAGCCGAGTTATAAATGCTGGAGCAAATACTGTACCTCATGATTTTGGGCTTCACGGGCATTCTTTCGAATGTAGTCTTTATAGGCTACACAAATCGTTCGCAAACCATTGCTGGCCATGTGTGAAATTATAGTGGCCATAATCTCTTTGAACCTTTCGCTCGAGAAAAGATGTGGTTTGCCGTCGGAGCCGATTATATAGGAACATCTGAACTTTTTATATATTTTATACACCTCTTGATAAACTTAAAGCTTACCTGGCGAGGATAATCTCACTGGCACCTTTGCAATAGACTCTGTATCCAACATCTACGCCATTTTCTACGAGTCGAATTACAGTCATCATACACTTTCGGGATGAATTGAAAGTGTAAACCTGAACGAACCATTCTTTTTTTGAATTTTGATGCACCGCGAATTATTTTCTGTCCAAAGTTTGCGGACTATAAACAGGGGAGACCAAGCGTTACGAGAAACTGCTCAAAAAAGCTTTCGTTTGGAGTTAGGGGAGGGGGAGGGAGTGGAGGTGGCCCTCATCGGGACGGTTTTCAGAAATAAAAGAAATTTCCTTCTAAACATTATACTGCGATCTTGACTGTCTCAGTACTTACAACAAAAATCATGAAAATTTCGGCATTTTAGGCGTGAGATAAATAAGAATACTATAGAACTTTTGTGTCTCTATTTACACAGCGGGCTGTCTGAATTTTGCATATGTGACTCATGTTTAGAATAAGGCTCTTTCAAGAAGTCTCAAATTTTTGCAGAAAATTCATAACCATATTTATTTTTGCACTTATGTAATCTGTTCGTAACAGAATTTTTACTAAGACCAGCTGTGGAAAAGCCATGATCCATATAATTACTTCTGAATCTGATTTTGCCTAAAGTTGTTAGTTGAACTCCAAATTTACCTTTTCAAATGACTCTTCTGGAAACTTCTTTCTGATAGTAGAATAATCTCCGCCTAATCTTTGAACAAATCCCAGCAGGCCGCATTCGGTTTTGTTACCAAGTTGCTGGACTTGTTCTCCGGCCTTGGTTGGCTCAACTATCATCGAATTGTATGCACTGAATATAATCGATTATCGCTTTTTGCCTCATTTTTAAGGTTTCAAAAAATTCACAAACCTGTTCACAGAAATGGCTTCGGCAATCAGGTGAGCTGTATCACCTGGTAAAGAAGCGCCACTAGGTTGATTGTTTTGACCTTCGTATAGGTTACCTAAATCAATAGGCACTGATGTGGAAAAGTTGTGATTGGTCGACGAACGACTGACCAATCATGACGACTCACCATTGATATAAGAATCTACTACAGTCATTCTGTTCGTAGTTAGTGTTCCGGTCTTATCCGAACAAATGGAAGTTGCGTTACCCATGGTCTCACATGCATCCAAATGCCGTACAAGATTATTATCGAACATCATCTACATACATACGTTGATGCTATGAAAAATCAATAAATCAATATTGTTTGTTCACCTTTCTAACAGAGTAGGTAAGAGCTAGGGCAATGGCTAAAGGCAACCCTTCTGGGATTGAAATGACTAGAATCGTAACCGCAATAATGAAAAACTTGACAAACATCTGAAAACAATTAGGTTTTTGAATTTTGCATGCGAGAACTGGTCCCAGTTGGTCTCACCTGAATATCAGCTATACTAAACGGTATTCCATCTCTAACATAATGTTCGACACAGAATCTCGTCACTAATACTACCAAAGCTATAGCAGCTACTGTCGTTCCTGCAGTTAGATATTTTTGATTACGGTAATTGGAGGATACGGTAGATCAACATACCACAGTATATGATTTGCAGCGCTAATTTCGAAAGTTTCGATTGAAGCACGGATTTTGCCGATAGCCCGTCATCATCATCACTACTTTTACTTGAATGCGAGGATTTTGACGAGAAAGATGAGTAGGATGAACTTGTGGAGCTTGACGAGCTGGACGAGGCTAAAATCAATAAGATAAAAATGGCTCCCGCAAAAAAAAATTTTGGGAAGGGGTGAAAATGACAACAAAAAATTTTAGACGAAGACGTTTGTTGTGTCCTTGTATCTCCGAAAATATTTTTGCGCGTTTCCGAATTCCTGCACATAAAACCCTGAATTTGAAATGGGGAGTGGCGCGAGCCAAGCAGAAACATTTCAAAAACAAAATCTATTCTATTTTTGCATATGAAAGCAAAAGACTTGTAAGTTTGGTGGCTCATAACAATTTTGAAAAAATTTCGCGTGAGATGGATGGGTGGGGGGAGGGGGCATTGCCAAGAAATAATGTTTCTTGAACATACTCGAGCTTGAATCATCATCTCCATCTCCCAGTCCGGTCTTTCCTGCACCCAAAAGTGTCATGATGATACCAGTCTGTGAATTTACTCCCACAGCTGTTAATACCATTTTGCCTGAACCTTCCATAGCGTAGGTTCCTGAAACGACCACTTCTTGACATTTGGAACATTGTGACAGTTATCCGATGTTACCTGACAACAGTACGGGATCCGTTTCAGGGCTTTTGGCAATATGATCGGATTCTCCCGTGAGTGATGACTCGTCGACCTGGGAAAGAATTAGGATATGTTGCGTAATTTCGTTAGAAGGGATTTTTTTGTTTATTTTACATATCTTAAAACTGTAATTTTATAGTAAATTTCTGTTTTTCTTGCAAAATTATTCACTTTGGACTTTTTTCCGCATACAATTTTTTATTTTCTCACCTTCAAGTCGTTCGACTGAAGCAAGAACCCATCAGCAGGTAGAAGGTCCCCATACTTTACTCGGGCAATATCTCCTACTACCAGATCCGAGACGGGAATATCGATGGCTTCACCATCACGAATCACCGAGAATTTCTGGCCTGTTTCGATTTTTTCCTAGAACAATAATAATTTCGCATCTTGTTCATCCCCGTCAATCAATAAAATCAATATTGATCAATACCTGCAAACTTCTGAATTGTCGTTCTTTCGAATAGTCATTGATTGCCGTGACAAGCACAACAACGACGACGCACAAAAGAATGGCAACTCCTTCGATCCAAGCTGTTCCATGTCCTTCCAATTGTGGTTCTTTCGTAGTAGCAGTGATGTTACTAGTTAATGTAGAGTTTAGAAGATCAAAACCTGGAACATTTATATATTCTGCGCATTCCGCTAGGAAATAAAAAATAATCATTTGGAGTGCTAATTGTGGATAAATTACTGATAATTTTTCGATAAGTCGATAAGGGAATGAAAGAAAGCCATCAAACAGAGTGTTTTCAAGGTTTAGGTTGCGATGCTGAATATTGCAAAGACTAGTTCTCACTTATGATTTTATATTGCACTCCAATCACTATCGAAGGAAAATCGCAGGTAAATTATGGTAATTTTATGTGCTATAAAATTATTAGTAATTTAATTTGATATTTTATAAGGTATTATATGGTATATGATTACAGGTAATTTTATATGATAACATAGAAGGAGCGGTGCTCGTTGCTACTATCCAAAATTTTACAGATTTTTGTTCAATTTGAGGGGTGCAAAAATTGCGTAATAAGTCAGGGAAGAGGACTGAAACATTACCCTTTCTTTCGTTTTTTTTTCAAAAAGTAGAAACAGAAACTAGCTGTTTCTTCAATCGAGGATTTGTTCCTGTTGGCACAAACTTTCCCTTATTTAAAAAATTGTGGCAATTTTTTCTAAGAAGAATCCTCATTTTGCTCTTCTAATCGATTCTGTGCTCCGATCGCTAGCCTGCCGCAGGCGGGAATTCAAATCGCAATTCTTGTAAGAGGAAAATAACAAAATAGGCTCGTTTTCAATGTACAAGTAACGATATGGCACCAAATTTGCTGTGTAGTTGGAGGACCATGAGTACAAAAATAGTATGAAGAATTATGAGAAACTTATGTGAATTCAAAAAATGGTAAGTGTTTTTCGAAATTAGGTGGCTCTCGCGCCACCTGGGAGCAACCTGGGATGGCTCCCTGCTTCCCTTCACACAATTTCCCGGATTTCTTTACATAAATGTGGACTAGGTCGAGAGTATTACTATATGTTCAACTCCGCTTCCAAAACCACCAAGGCACCGCTTCGATACAGCCCCAAATAGGGTTCACAGCGTTATGACCGGCCTCGGAAAGCGCGCTCCAATCGCAATCAGTTATTGTAAATTGTAAAGTTTCGCAGCTGACTAATAAATGAGTAGTATCTTAGATATATAAACGTCAAAGTTTGTGCAAATCTTGACCCTATGTTTTTTTAATAGATTCCTTTGCGGATGAACCCATTGAGCTGAAACTTTGATGACCCGGGTTGGACCAGGAAAGCCAGGTAGTACTACTATAATAAGCGCTGAGGCCGCCCATCTTATTATTTGTGTATATCTGTTTGTGTCAGGGACCTACGGGGGTCAAAAATAGGGTCAAAGGGGAAGTCGTAAGAAATTTTGGCTTCAAAGGGGATATCGTTCTCAAAATTCTGAAACGCCACCTCCTGCCGGGCCCTGTGTGCATCACATGAGCGAATACGTTTTCCGCACTGGCTACGTCGATATGAAAAATTTTCCAAAAAAAACAACAGTGGACAGAAATTTGCACAGCGAGGATGTGCTAGTCTGGTAGTTCCCCTATAAAATAAAAGAGCGAAAAATGGAGTCAAAACGGTTTACGCTTAACATTGAACAATTACATATACATGCATTTTTCTGCGAGGAAATCGACAAAGGAAATGAAGAGACTAAAAAATGCGTGGTCTTTTGCGAAGACCAATATTCATTGCTTTTATGAAAATTGTTTCTGAAGGACCAATCTTTATTCTCTTGTTTCTTCCCCAAAATACTCTTTTTTAGCGCAAATGCCTTGGAGAGACTTAGTTTGTAAAATAAGAATTTTTTCCAAAAATATGCACTTTCCAGCATTTTCAGTTCAATCTTACCGCGTCATTTCTCATCCTCTGACTCAAAACTTTGTGGTTGATAATCTCTCATGCTGTTTTTTCTACCCATCAAGTCATCAATAAGCAGCGTTATCATCCAACATTTTTTTGTTCATCATCTCCCCCCCCCCCCCTCCACCCTAGCATCCACCTTCGCGTCGATACCCTTGAACTGGGTAAACTCGCTACCGCCCGCTCGCCAAACAAAAAGTGTAACATATGCGTCTATCTCAGCTGATATGATATGGAAATACAATTTAGTCCCGTTTTTGGAATTCGTCCGACAGGCGAAAAAAACTTAGCTATGTCCAGAAAAACTACAGTTACCCACCAGTGATATTGTTCATGAAAGCTCCAGCTATGAGAGCCGCAGCGGTGGAAGTTTCCTCATCCGGAGCTTGCATTTCGGGTTCATAGAAAGAAAGTGCCAGATTAATACATCCAGCAACGACTAGAATTATCAGGGTAGGGTCCTGCAAAGAATTATCAGAATTAGCACGGTCATTTGTGCTAAATTAGCTAAGAAACTCACTCTACAGGCGTCAAACACCAATCTCACAAAGCTTTTACTCGTCGCTGGTGGTATCGTATTTGCGCCGAATGTGGCACGTCGTTTTTCAAGCTCGGTTGCATTGTTATGCAAACCATTTATAGGATCGACTCTGAGCTTTTTGCATAGACCTTCGACACCGTCATGTTCCGTGGATAACTGAAAAAACTCGTTAAAAATATGTAGGAAAAGAAAACCTGAAAGCGATAGTAAATTTAGAAGTAGAATTAGAGAACGGTAAATCCAGAAATAGATTTTCTTCAAAAGAGGCGGCATCCAGAAATGGAACAAAATTAAAGGACAGATGGAGGTCGGAGCGCCTACAAAAACCAGTTCATTTTACTTGGGCAGAGGATAAGAAGGAGAAAATAATCAAAGAAAGTTCAAAAAAAGAAAAACAACAGAAGTGAACTGTAAGCTGTTTTACAATAGTGCTCAATCCTTTGAAAATATTTTTTTTCAATTTCATTCAATTTTTCGCAAATTTTCAAAAATTATCCCTCTGGTAAAGTGAGGCTAGCAAAAAAGAAAAGATAGCTGCTCTAGGCTAGATTTTTCATTCTACTCCTGCTCAAATTATTCGTTGGTGCTTAGCCCCCCCCCCCTTCAAAATTTTTCCATTTTGGGAAAAGTTGTGACTACTCTTATTCTAGGAAACCCTCACCCGTCATGTGAGTGTAACGGAGATACGCATTGGTTATTGTGGCCCATTTATGCATTCCAAAAAAAAGCAACAAAGTACATAAGGCTTGCTCGAAGATATTTGAGGGATTGAAAAAACGAATGGGAAGCGCTACTACCCTACATCATTCTCAACCCAGCTAATAATATTCGAATGAAGAAAAAAATAAGAAGGAATGAGAGTAAGAAGATGTTTTTTCGTTTGAGACTTGTAGATTATAGAGGTATGAAGGGAGTAAGATCAAACGTAATTTCTCTGTTAAGTTATTTATTTTAAAAAAATTGAAAAGCCTACTCTAACGATAGCTTCTGCGCCTCGCGCCTCCATAAGGCTGCGCAGTTGCGCCAGCGTACATCCATAGTCTTTCGAGTGGTCGGTGACCTGAAAATAAACATACTAGTTCGATATCCATTCAACTTAAATTTTTCCACTTTGAATTCCATCATGTACGCGCAGAGTGTCCAGCGTCGAAAGGGAAGTAAACTACATATCTTATAAGCAAGAACACTCTCCTCATTATCCCAACCTAAATGGTCCCTTATCAAGTTTGCACGAAGACAAAAATAAGTTTAAAGGCACCATCCACTCTAAGTTGAGGGTCTTAAGCTTTTGGTAACATACGATAGTAGGGCCCCCTATTAAGCCAATGCCCAAGTCGCGGCGCAAAATGTCGCAAAAATTGCTCCGAAACAATTAAGAGGCACAAGGACCACCCTTAGGCGGCACCGCCCCCTTCAGTAATGCCCGCCCCTCCGCGAGCGTCCGTCCAACCCGGAACAGAATTTGCGGCGTTTTCGCGGATTCTCAGCTTCATGTTCGGAATCAGGGACATGAGAAGGCCTCGGAACGACAAAACCATGGAAGTCGAGAATCTGGGTGGACGGCGCCTTTACCCGAAATCATCAAACAACCACAGATTAAGGGGTTTTTTTGGTTTTTTACAGGACTTGTGCTCTTTATTGGACTCATAAGGTCAGTCTGTACAATTAAATCAAAATATATCCTATCCTTTTCTCATGTACAATTCACTCTAATTTCACGCGTATAAGGCGCACTTTTTCGATTTTTCAAGCCAGCTGCGCAGCCGCTGCATTGTATTCCGGGAAGATATCTTTATACCGCACGATTTTCTCGAGCAATATACAGCATGTTATAGGGTCTCTTGGTTGTAAAACCCCTTGCGTGTCCGGGCTGGCCGATTTTGGAAAAAAATCCCCCGTCTTATACGCGTGAAAATAGGGTAATATCCTCAAATGACAATTTATGCTTCGCCAATAGTGGTCTGCTTCACTGTTAACTTTTGAAAACTTTTTTGGGCAATCTAAAATCAATTTATGTTTTTGATTTTGGATAGCTGCTTGTTGTTATAGGTTCCTATCACCTTGACAAAAAATAAAAATAAAAGAGTAGGGATGTTCCAGTTCAAACGCAGGGGATGCTTGCGGCTTTCTCGAAGATCCCCTCATATATTTTTGTTTTCGCTTATCAGTGACAATAAACTGAAAGTGCCATGCTATTCTATAGAATTTAGCTTTAGCGTTCAAAAATAATTTTCAAGCATACTTTTCTCACAAAACTTTTTCTGATATTCCTTTTCCGAATAATCACTCCGCTCTGTGTTACGTTGTTTTTTCTAGTCTTTTGAAAACATTGCATGCTTGTAAACTATATGATTAGGCATTCTTAGCTTATTTTGTAATGTACTATTTTTGCGAAAAACTTGAAGAACTCGAAAAGATTTGAGGATTTTTGAGGTTAAAATGAATCATGACTCATTATTATTTCAGTTTTTATCCCTACAAACACATATAGACATTCGACTAGCAAACATAAGGACATCGAATCGGGGCAGCAAAAACACGTTTGCGTATGAAATGATGTAACAATATGCTAAAACACATTGACAATCTGTTTATCACGCATTATTGATTGATTTATAAGTGGATTACGGTGGAATTACCTCGTGTCTCCCTCGAAACTTCATTGAGCAGTGAATTGGGGACTATTGGAAAGACATAGGTCAAAGGCTTGAGCTCAAATAAGGTAGGTTAGTTGGGTTTGAGCAAAGGAGAAGTCGGATAAAGGGTTTTATGGAAGTAGGGGGGAATTACCAGATCCTGGGAGGAGTACAGCGAATTTTTTTGGGATTTCCTCCAGTGGGTGAAAATTCTTGCCAAAAATCAGTGAGAATCAATCGAAAGAAGTATTGCGATCTCAAGATCGGAATGATTACCGTACGATCTCTTGGGGTGACGTGTAGGCGTGGCCATTTAGTTAACCCTAACGGGTTATCTCGTCCTTTCCCGCTCTCTACCCATTTGTTTCTATTCTCAACTTCACTACGAGCCCGGCTATCAATCAAACATTTGTACGTTTTGTACGTGCGAATGTACGTATGTGTTGATTTGTAATAAATACACCCATTATACGATGCAATTAGTCTAAACATCGTGATACATACACATATGATGGGTTCAAACTGCATAAGACGTAAATCTGATCCACTTTCTGGTATGTGACACTGGGTCAAGGTGATATGCTGCGACAAAACGCGCAAAATGAGCAGTTTTCTATCTTTATGACTTTGAGACCGGCTCATTATGACAAATTTTTCCAACAGTTTTCTTAATGGACCAGGCACTTCCTTGCTTATCTCTAAAGCTTCATAGAAATTTATTAGTAAACATCAAACCGCGGCCGGATGGTCTAGGGGTATGATTCTCGCTTCGGGTGCGAGAGGTCCCGGGTTCGAATCCCGGTTCGGCCCAACTTTTTCGCACTGTCATATTCGTCAATACAACGTCAGAAATAACAAAATCAGTGACAGAAAAGTTTATTATACTTTTTTTTAACTTTTTAATAATTTCACACTTCTTTAGCCGTAGCCATAATATGATTGATTTAGCTATTCTTTTGATTAAATTCATAATATGCGTTTAAAAAAATTGAAGGTGGTAGATTATTGACGTCATAGGCTGCGTTACGATAATCACTGGTGAAAGATCAAAATCAAAGATTTTTATAAGAAGGTCTAAAAATTAGCTAGCATTGGCTATTTGCCTAATTCTTCTGCCTAAACGATATTTATGACGAATCTCCAAACAGAAAGTGATGGAATGCTTTCGCGTTTGGTAAATACAGAGAACATAATTTGGCAAATGAACCTTCAAATCAAAAAAAGCAAAGATCAGTAAACCTCTAATAGGGAGTGGTTATCCTTACATACTGATAACCATCAATTTGGGCACTTTTTCACAAAGGTTCGAGATTGAAATATAGTTTGATTTTTGGCAGTAAAGAAAGAAAACAGCAAAAAAGATTTCCTAATTGGTCAAATGCTATGAAAAAAATTCTACCCAAGCCTAAATTAGGAACCTACAGACGTTCAAAGTTCGATAACGTCATCGACCAATGTCAAGCGTATCTTATAATTGATGTGACAGTGCATAGTTATCGGTCGCTAGTTTAGGTTTTCTGTGGCAATTTGGTGGTATCAAGGAATTGTACACGGGATTACTAGAGTGATAATTTTGATGCAAATACGATACTAAATTCAATACAATGTATCATGGACGAAAAAATATCAGAAAAATTTCGCTTCAATGTAATTTTTGTGAATAATCCAGCCACTTTATGAAACACGAAATATTCTGAGCAAAGGCGAAAGCTTTGAAAATTTTGTGCATTTCTGACATTTTTCCGATGAAGCTGACGGATGAAACAATCCCTAATTTTCAGAAAAACGTATTTCTACATTAGAAGGAGCTATAAGTTGATTAACAATAGATAAACTTTACCTGATGAAATGTTAACATATTTGTCTCTTTCCAGGCTATGAAGTACATTCAAAAGAATCTAAAAGACTCTCAGACATTCCATAAATCAAGAATTTGAAAATATCAGAACCTTGTACTTTAGTATCCCTAAATAGCTCAGTTGAAGAGTGTAAATCAACGTCATCTGAGAAACTAAAGGTAGAAGGGCACACAGACTGCCAGCTAAGGTTACCAGTAGTACAGTGGTTTACGTTCGTGTTCAAAAATTGGCTAGCGAGGAACAGAAGGAGTGGGTAAGGGCAGATATGGTCCGGCCACGAAATACCTGAGATGGCGTTGAGATGTTCTTACAATTATGGCTTGTTTAGTAAGCGAAACATCAAGTATAATGCTTCTGCTCTCAGTGGAAAAAATAGCTGGTATAATTCTGGGATGAAAAAGGGCGTCCGGCTTCACTCACACTCAACCGAATAATTTTGTAAAATTTGTATCAAATCGCATAACTGAGATAAATGTTCGAGGATCATTGAATTTTTCAAGAAAAATGTAGGCGAAGTTAGTTTTGCGCAGTTTTTGTGAATATAAAGGTTAGGTGAGGAGATTGACGGGTCCAAATTGAAATCACAAATTACGCTAAACAATGCCTATTAGGACTACTTGGCTGCTGATCACGAAGCATATAGTTTAGCACAGCGAAACCATGGTTACGGTGGGTATACGGTAGAGGAATGGGATTTCAGCTGGTTTTTCTGATGAAGGTGTATGACAGCTCCCTCTCCACCCGCGGATGAGCCGCGAAATTTATTTTGTCACTTACATGAGCCATAAACATGTGCAAGTGGCTTGCTCATATTTATAAAAAATCTAGATGGTTTTACTCTTTCAAAAGTTCAAATTAGCCTTATTGAAAAAAGTTTTTTCGGTGGGGTTGGACTTAAGTTCTGGTAAGCATCCCCAAAAAAAGTTTCCGGAGTATAAAGCCATCCACCTTTAGTCAAAAAAATCCTCTGTTGCCCCCCCCCCTCCCACCCGCGGACGGAAGTCGCGACCACCACTGCCTATAGTCAACACAACTCTGGAAAAAGTCACTATCAAACCCTACCTATGTATTTATATCTTATACTCACTCACCCCGCTAGAGAACAGCCTAGAAAAAGTTTAAGTTGAATCTGGGCTTGGAATCATTTGCTGTATATCTACCGTAACCACTGTGAAATTTTTTACAAAGACGGTTATATTGAATATGTGAGTCTCGTTGAGTAGAATAATGCACATTCAAACCATTTAGATTTTTACTACATGGAAATAAACTAGTTCGGACGAAGACGCAATGGCAATCTTAGCTTCGCGGCGCGCGTTGGCCGCGCTCGCACACGCGACGCGAGTGAGAAACCGCGTTCGTCCCTTACGTCTTGCGCCTTCGTCTGGTAGCGGACCTCTAATAGGTTGCGCCAGCTCATTTGTGCCCCTCTAATTTTTCAAATCTCAAATATCAAATATGCCAAATATCAAACATCTCTTACCAGTTGTCCACCGATTGTATCAGGGGCGCAAGCACCACCGGCCGCGGCCGTAGCGCCCACACCGTTCGTTGCTTTTTCAGTCACATGACGGCCTTTTTTCATTGAACGCGTACCGAAATCAGCAGTGGTCAGCTTTGGAAACGTAAATTCGGGGGCAGATCGGTGGGTTCCGACGCCAAACCCTAAAATCACTTACTTACCTTAGTAGACTTGCGATATTATCAAGCAACATGCGAAACGGAACGAGAATCTAATTCTAAGATTTTGTAATGTGAGTATGAGAGAAAATCGTTGCATTATAGAGCACATTAACATTTATACGTACGCTGAATTCAGTGTTAAGGTAGCCTTCTTAAAGAATTTTTTACGTTATGTTTGTGTTTGTTGCCAGGCTTTGAATTTCTTTTGAAGCATAAATGATCGAAAAATCAACAACGTGCCATAGTTTTCCTGCACTATTGTCGCTGTTATGGAATTAAATCTACATAACAATCTTTGCCTAAGTTGGAATTCTTATCATAAGCTGTAAGAATTTGCAATTCTAATATTGCATTCTGATCTATAAAAGTCTAAGTGTTCAGTTCAAATGTGAGTTCGCTTCCAATGGATAGTAATATTAGAAAAGCTATGGTAGTAAGAATGTCCTAGTCTCAGTTTTGAGAACAATAGATGAGTTTCCTTGGGTTGAAGATGTCAAGAAACTAAAGCAGAGCATGATCTGAAGCCACAAGTTCGGGACTGACTTGGAGGTATAAATAATATCGCAGCTACTTACAATGTCCATTTGTGGAAGCAAATAAAATTTCCACAAATAATTATTACATGTACTGTAGTTTAGCACAATTTTCTACAATTTTCGTAAAGAAGAAAAGAGGTTGTTATTGATCTTAACAATCGCTGTCTTTAAGCGGAATATTTGAGATAAAGAGACCTACAAGGATCTGCCGGAAAGGTCTGTTAGTGGCTCCGACTTAAAAGCTCAAAGCTATACCGTTTATACTCTTGAAACACAGAAACCTGATTTTTTGGACTGCCTCTGACATTCATTGGAGTTGTTGGAACTTTTTATCTCACTAGCTATAAATCTAACACTCACAAATAGATTTTTTTGCAGAATATTAGGCTTATATGAAATTTTAATTATGAAATTAAATTATAAAACTTAAACTATGAAATTTTACATAAATGGAATCGCTCGATGATTGGACTGAGGAATTGACACTCTTTGTGGAAAAAAAAGAGCATCAATGATTTGAATAGGAAAAGGTACAGAAAAGTAAAGTCATGACTGGACGTTCATTTACAGTTTTATACATTTTACGTAGAATTATTTTCAGTCATGGTTTGAATGGCGTATATTCATAGAGTTTCAATCAAAAAAATTCACTAGGGTTAAGTAAAGCAAGTGCGGACTACAAAAAACCGCATAATGTTAAGTTTTTGAATATTTTGGATCTTAAACAGGAAAAAAAGGTCAGTACGTAAGTTAACCATGGCGAGAGTAAATGATAACCGTGAGAGAGCAAAAACAATGATGAGGTCATCGTTAGGTCAGTTCATCGCTAGAATTATGCAATTCTTATCAGTTCAAGTCATGGTTTTTGACATAATGCACAGAACAAGCAGAGAAAAGAGCTGTTTGGATACGGTAGAGATACGGTAGATACCGTATCTCGCAGCATGTAAGCTCGAACGACCACATCAGCCTCCGACTTCACATACAAACGCACACACACACCGCGGACAGGACATTGTGCTCGTGATTGGCGTGATCAGCGATTTTATTGCGATCGACAGCAAAATTTATGCAAATCCGATATCACGGGTTGTTCCTCGTCGAATCACTACTACGGTTTAGCATGTTTTATGCGCAATGAACATATTCTAACAGTGAGTGAAAGAGCATTTTTTCGTCCGCCGCAGAAATCACAAACCCAGATAAAAACGTCAAAGATTTTTGCAAGCTTGGTTAAACAGTAACCGCGACTAGCTGGTACTTTTTCGAATTTTCCATGGTTAAAGCAGATCCAAGGCCGAACATACAGGATTTGGGCATCAATTTCTAATCGCAGCCGGGAGGGGGGGGGGGGGTCCTCGCACCTAATAATTGCACCTGATTAACACCTACTTCGCACCTATTGCTTTACATCTCATCATGCTATTCGGAAGCTTAATAACGCATAATTTGTCCGACTCGTTGCCATCTCGCCAAATATAGATGATATTAAAAAAGTGAAAAAATACAGATTCTCAGAAAAAAGCTACATAAATATTTCGGGTGTTGATGCAATAGACGTGGACAAGAATGCGAAGGAAAGAAAAGTGTTTGAGACGTTTTGCACTTGCATAAAAAATTGGACTTGAAATCAGTGATTTGTTATTATCACCTTCTTAGTCATCATTCGCCGTTCACCGGTAATGACTGTGACGAGGAAATGTGATACATGGCGTACATTTCAAAGATGCAAACAAGTCTATTACCGATGAAATGCAAGTGCACAGAAAGATCTGGAAAATTTTTTGAGCCAACTGCGCAAATTTCGATGAATATTTCGCAATCAAAATTTCGAAAGAATATATGGTAGTGTTCAGTCTTGGTAAGAACCTAACATCTTACAAGGGAAAGGATACTATCCATGTTGGTGTTTATTCTTGAATAGTATCATTTTACTCATAAATCGCGGTAATCGTTGTACCAGTCAGAAAATAAACACAAAAGGGTCAGCTGCTATCTATGATGATTCCCTCAGTTTTTCTACTTTATGGCGTCCTTGGACAAGCTGATCTTTAATGCGAGCTTGTATCAGTATCTCTAAGAGCATTGTAAAAATGCAATCATTTCATTAGGTTGTGCGATAAGTTCTGTGCATTTTTCTTTCAATTTTTTCCGATATTTGTTTTGCAAAATGTATGCATTTAAAAAGCTTCAAGACTCACTGCTAATTCATATGAGTCATTCACTATTAGCAAAAAAATAAAAGAGATTTTTGGTGTTAGAATAAAAAATCCGAAAAGACGAAAAGTCCATTTTAGACAACTTTTTCTCACCAATTTTTCCAATTTTTTATTGGTAAATTTAGTCAACAAGCTTGACAACAAACAAAACAACCTTATAGATTAAATCCTACTCAAGTAGCCATTCAAATTTCCGAGCACAAATGCAGTTGAGGCTCTGTGAAGAAAAATAGAAGTAAGGGTAAGTAAAAAACGTCGATAGACGGCAAAAAATAACACCACACAAACTATTTATCTATTTCAGTCTCCGGTGACAATCAAGATTTTCATAGTCAAGAGCTTTCAAGAGCAAACTTTATGGAAACTTTCTTGTACGAGTTACAGTGAGGAATTGTCAAATTCACCCTAACATAAGCACATCTTCGCTGCAAGTAGTGAGTTCCTGCGAGGCATTTTCCAAGGATTATATAGTTTTGCTTCGAGTTTTGCGTGATATTGGTACATTTTGCATGTCAAAAATATTTTATTGCATGAAACTGTTTCATAGATATTCTTTTCCTAATAAAATTAATCATCTTGTTGGACCATGCTTCTTGAAATCATCTTTCACTGATATTTATTCGAATGCGACACTCAGTAAGCACGATATCTAAGGTTAATGCAAAGCTTTGTACCAAAAATAGAAAATAATCACGACATGTTTATGTTTTTAGATTATATTATGCATTTTTTGAAACATACGATACTGTTATAATTTATTGTACATTTTTGGTTTATATTCTGATCAAAATTTACAGTTGAGATATTTCAAAAGTTATGACTACATATCTACTTTCAGAGATGTACTATCAACAAGAACTTTTCCCAGATAGAAGAAGACACTATGAAGCCAAAATCAAAACCTAAAACCACTTATTAAGTGCTTGTGTCGTTAAGATATTCCAAAAAGAATGTACACACCTGTTAGAAGTTGCGATGTTTTGATATGTGAAATTAGCAAAACTGTTGAATTTAGAGGAGATTGAGAATCTTTGAGAATTTTTGTGCAAGAACAATGCATTAACCTAATATATAACTGTAACCAAGTAAATTGGAATGCTCATGAAGTTCAAAAAATCTTGCAAAATCATCCAATAAATTTATCACCAAAGATAACAGCATAAGCTTGGTCGAGCTCCATAATTTTTAGGAGAATTACTGTGTTAACACTGTTCTTTAGAGCGACTATTACTTCACACGTTGATAATCAATCCATTATTTTTTGGATTATGGTTGCCCTTAGTTTGCGCATATATTTATTATAGGTATGCTGAAAAGATCACAGTTCAATATTATTTTTTACGGAATAGAAAATTGTTCAGAGTGCTACAGTCAAAAAGTTCAGAGTACTGAACTTTTTGACTGTAGCACACATGTAAATGAACATGTTCTTTCATGTTTTTTGTTTCACTGTCAGTGTATAAAATATGCGATGGCGCACAATTGTAATGGGAGGGGGGGGGGAATAATTAACTGAAAGGTAATTTTACCCGATTGTGCGCATGGACCAATGATGTTTGACCATTCAGCTTCTCAGAAATTAGTCTTCAACGTGCTTGTATGATTTAGGAAATGACACTCAGATGTTTTTTTCCCTGCGTGAAGTAAACTTAAGGATAAAGATGTTGCACAAAATCAGACCTCGAAAAAGTACATATGAAATTCCATCAGCTTCAAAATAAACAGTGCTGTTGCGTACCGTTAGTCTACAGTGTTCAAAAAATACTATGTATAATATTGATTTAGCATCCCAGTTGTAATATACAATTTTGAAAATACTTCGAAATTTTACCTTCAAATCTGGCAGCAAGAGTCTCAGAAAATAGCACTGTAGGTTAAAGTGTAAGGTGTTTACTTGGTACAAAATCAAGGTTTTGCAAGGTTTTACTTGGATGAGCTTTAACTTCGTCAGAAATATAAAAAAAAACATTTCGTAAAAAATTATCTGAGCAGGAAACCTTGTCTGACCGCACACCCATTTCATTGTACTGAAATCACAAATTAGCAGAAAATTATCACTTTGGACTAGGAAGCAAAGATATTCTTGTAGATTTACAAAACGCAATAAAATTGACTTGATGATACAGTGATGACCAGCATTGCATGGCCTCAAGCCATTAATGTACGCGTCAAAAAGGCTTTAAAGGAAGTAGAAAATGCGAAAATGAAAAATGAAAACCTAAAAGTGGGAGCTTTTCAGCCTGTTTTCAGTATGCCCTAATGTCCGAAGTCAAGTATCTTTTTAGCTGGAATAATTTATTTTTCTGTTTTAGCATTTGCAGACTTTTTGCAAAAAATCTCAACAAGAGGCCTTGTGTAGTTTTGCGCTTACAAATTGGGAAAATCTGGCAACCGCATTTTCAGAAAGGATATTTGGGCCAAAATGGCCGCAGCAGCTGTTTTTTATTGGGTGAAACTTTCTCAGTCTAAGCACTTTCAAATAATGGGATTTACGCAATTTTTCACAGAGGAGGTACAGATATTTTTTTGAAGATTTAACTCTGTAAAAATTCAACATATGGGGCTAATGTGCAGAAGCATTTCCAGAAAGAGCGTGGAAAAATTGCAGGTTCTATGGGAAACCTTCCTTATATAAATTCGTTAGGAGAAGCTTAGGAAAAACTGTTACGCCTCAATTCTGCACCAAACTAGTAAATACCATGACATTGAAATTTTGGGAAGAGAGGTTCTGTGAAATAGCTATAAATATCGAAAAACACTGAATAAGAAAAATGCCTAAATGATTCATTGGAAAGCAATGATGCAGAATAAATTGCAAAGTTTTTCCAGGCGATCTTTTGACAACTTCAAAAAACAATAGCTCATGACATGATAAGATAGATAAAGCGCCCTACATGAGAGTAAACAGCAACACCCTTTGGTGTTTCTTGAAAGAAGCTGATTTTTTGTTTGATCATTGGTGTTTTGTTGTCAGAGCATTAGAAATCAGTGGGAAATCAATAATCCTGTAAAAAAAATATACAATAAAGAATGTAAAGCAATGGTATACCCAAAATTTTTGATAAACCACATAAATGAGAACCTTCAAATTTTACATCTGATTATTGATGAATAATGGTACAATAGGTTACTGTAAGATAAAGACAGCAAATCAATAAATCGATTGAACAGCTTCAACATGTACAATGACATAGCATAAGAATAACATGTGATCTCATAGAAGATCGTTATCGTGCGTGAATCCTGATTATAGCAGCTATATGCGGATCGATTTAGACACTGATCCGCAGCGGAAGCAAGTTTGATCTTTTGGTAGATGGCTTTTGATTTATTCAAATTTTTCCCTTTGGAAGATGGACAAGCTTTCATCCAAAAATTAATCGCACAATTGGGTGTTCCCTTCTATGAGTTAGTGGAGTGAATAACAAGCGGAAAATCTGCGATTTGATAATGTAATGATAATCTGCGTTATTTTCTGAACATCTGAATCTTCTTCTTATTTTTCAGCAGACTTATCTTTATTTCATAATAGTCTCTTAAAGGTCAGTAAGAAAAGCCCTTGAAGAACGCATCAAAGCTTTCGCAATACCATCCTTTCACAGTGCGCCTGCACCCAAAGTGCACTCAGAATTATATTTATTGTCAGCAGGCTAAATTTGAATTTGACTCAATGTATCACAACAAAAAACAATCGTCATTCATTTCTTATATCTTCAGGAAATTTTTGTTGTTTTTTGTTTCGCAAAATAGATGAAAAAAGATAGGTAACAATGTTGAAAATTTGATAATTACAATAGAGGACGGATTTAAAACAATTCTATATACATTGAAGCCCGATGTAAGAATATTTTGCTTCAGGAGTTGATAGGTGGAGCCGTCTAGACCGTTTCTACCTTTTAGAGGTTTTTTTTCGCTTCAGAATACATCTTTTGCAATGGAGCTTGGACGATTACTTGGTTGGGACCACGCTATTATATTATACAACGTCTAAATCTCACCAACTTCAATTTGGGTTGCCCTCAAGCAAGACTTATCCCCTAGAAATGGGGAAAAAGCCTTAATTTTTGCACATTTCCATTCACATTAGTTTGTTCCGTGTTTACACCCATTGTTTCTTTCGTAGCTACTTATACATTGATGATCTTGCCCTATTAAGTTTGGGAAATATTTGACCAAGTTTGGCTGCTTTCAGAAGGCTTATGAATAGATTCCTTTATGAATGTTTGGTTGATCAACGAAGGCAAATCAACAGGCATTTTTATTTCGGCGATTGCGGCTCAAGGACCTCGGCCAATTAGAGTTTCTTTTTCCTTTCATTTATGTGTAGCCAGGCATAAATATAACTTCAAACTTGACGAACAGGATGGATATGACAAGTGAAATCGTACAAAAAGTCCCTTCATTTCAACAATCCATTATTATCGCTAAGGTGTTGTTTTCTGACACACCCTTTACCTACATCTGATTGGCGAGATTTCGTTGAGATACTATAGGTAGGCCCCCAAAAAAGCAACCGTCCAAGTCAAATTGCAAAGCTGAATTTCGAAGCGAAAAGGAGCCTCGGAAGGTGAGTCGGCAAAAGTGGCCAGCTAATTAACGTGGGTGGTCTGAAGGTGGAAGGTACCGCAAAATATCGAAAATTTCATTACTGATAATGTTCGACATCTGTGGGTACTCTAGTGTTCAATTTCGTGCTCAACCTTCAAACAACACAAGTTAATAGAGGTAACCTAAATCCAGCTTCTGATACTATTCCCGCTTTTGTCCATCGAAAGCGGGAATCGGGCAATCACTTAATTAAAGGCCTCGTTGATCACCAAAGTCACAGTCAGCTTTGAACAGTGTCTCTGAAAGCAGTAGTCTAACAAAAATAAACCTCCATGTCAGACAAGGTCCACAAGGTGGCGCCTCGAAATGTTCGCCCAAAGCCTGATCAAAGAGAATTTTGATTCCAAAACAAAAATTACTTTACAACAAACAACTAAATATAAATACGCCACATTTTTTTCATGGTCAGAAATTGAAAAGGCCAAAATTGGCATGCTTTTGCCAAAGCATTGCCGGTTCACACGAAGCCTTCCATACTAAAAGTAATGCTGTGATTTTCGTTTTACAAAGATCTGTTCAAGAAGTACCAAACTAGCTTAAGTCCGACAAAAACAACTTTTTCATGTTCCAGTCTATTTAATATTTTCAGTTCTAGCCATGAGAAAGTACAGCAATACGCTTGTGAATGTCTGACGTATGGTATATGCGTGAGCAAACTGATTCTAGTTGAGTAAGAACTTTTGCACAAAGATTTGATTCAGCTCAAAATTTTTCTGGGTTCTGGCATCAGTTTTCATCTAGATCCAACTTCTTCGTGCGCTTGATCAGCAAATGTTGATTCGAGCGTAAAAAGTAGACATTAGGGAAATCTCAACATGCAAAATTAAGGGACAACTTTGTGGTTAGTTAAGGTTTTTAAATATTCACGGTGTTGATGTTTCCGACAAAGCCGAAGCCGTTTTCAAAGGAAAGTGGAGCACGTAGTTGTCATTCATTCGATTGCTAGAGTTTGAGTATTTGAACACAACTTGTTATGACTTACAAAGGAAGGATACTAACTTAGATTCGCCTTTTGCGATGGGTCACATACAAATATGCTGTTCCTAGCTGCTTAGCATTATTCTGAAGCGAGTTATGGTCTCGTTCCTATGCAAAGTTTGCGTGGTCCTCAACCTAACGTCTAGGTGTTTTTACAATTGCATAATGCTTCCTTTCAAGATCGAGAGAACTAATTCGATGCTAGTTCAACATCCTCGCACTTTTTTCGAGCCAGATTCTTATCTACGCGCCGTCTTACGGCATTTAGAAGTTTGTTAATTACTCACAACAGCAAACCCATAATTCGCCGCGAAATAATGCTAAGCAGCTAGGAACAGCATATTTGGAATCAGCGTTCGAAGCTGATTTCAAAAATAAGTGTCTCATCTCAAAAGGCGGATCTAAGTTAGTATATCCTTCCCTTGTTAGTAATAACAATGCACTTACGCTTATCCTTTCTTATAGCTGCAGAGTAGAACATATAAGTTAGCAATGTGCAATGATGCAATATTAAAGGCTACTGCATAACGAAGCTGCAGAAGCAGTATTAGTTAAGCAGCCGCGCGGCGCGCGCGTATGTTCACGTTGTAAACCCTGCGCGTCGTGCGCTCTACGGCTAATAAGGCCGCGTTTGCCTCCTAAGGTTTTGCGCCTTCGTCATGCATTGACTATACTTCAAATAAACGCAAAGGTTGATCGAAATCTTCATTTTGACAGAAGACAAAACCTACAAAAGCAGATATTGCAAAACTCAGTATATAAATACTACACAAGTATAAAGCCTAAGCCAGAAGAAGTTACTGCAAACAAAGTCCGGTACTGCTGTCACATTCTGTTCCTTTGGGACAAGCAAAACAAGGACGTCCTGTCTTATATAGCACTTGCTCCACAATGTTACCTCTATAATTTTCGACATGAGCACAGGAGTCAATGGGTAAACAAGTATGAACCTTGGGTCATAGAAACATATGGCAGTGTAAGAAGAGGAGCATTTAGCGATTGCGCATCCAATAGTTCTGCTTCTGGACCAAGCCATCTGTAGAAACAAGTTTGAGCCCAACAAAATAATCTGATAAGGGCTGCGTTTATACTGATTGAAGTCCGCGAACAATTCCAGCACAGTGCGACTGAGCGCTGTACTGGGACTGTTCCTGGACTTCGGGATCAGTTGAAGGCAGCCTAAGCTTGCATTGTGCAGCAAAGAAATAACTTTGTTCCTCAGCATTTCACCAGTATTAGAGCTCACGAAGTCATCTCTTAAGGAATCACTTCGTTTTTACCTGGGTGTACGATTCTATAGGTGTACCAACGTGCTTCTGACGGAATGTTACTTTCATTCCTGGTCCCTGGTTATCCTTGCGAACGATTTTCCACCAATTACTCACGGCCTACAACTTTCACATTTTAAGGTCATAGCACTTTAATTTTGAAAAGGCAACCTTTTCTACAGCACTTCTGAAAGTCGACGTGATCGTCGATGGGGAAGAGTCAAAGTTCTTCCCATATATAACGTTTCCCGTCTTATATGTGGGACATTGTCGTACTTCTTCTATAGCGTCCTTCTCCAAATCGCAATTATATCTCTGCATCACTCTAGATATGATCACTTGATGAATGGCATAACAGAGACAGTACCAATTTGATCATGTCTGCTCCTTGCGGTAAATATCTTCCGCTTGGTCTTTGGACCATTCCCTGAGCAAGATTGCTTCTGGAAAGACAGTAATTTCAGAAAGTTTTGAAAGGCAGTGCAAAATTTCTTTTGCAATGTCATGTAAACGTCTACCTTCGATAATTGTGCATGTCGAGGAAGCGCTTCCTAAGCTCATCGTTCATTCCGACATTGTTACCGCACTCGTAATTCTGACCTGTAAGAGAGGTATATATCGGATTTTTGACAGTGTAAATTTAGATATGACGTAGGTTGCGAAATTCCTGCGACCCATCTGAAGTACTGCAGTTTTTAATCCTTTGCTGGCTCCTTACTTCCTCAAATAGGGAAGTAAGACTGTGCCGATTTGATTTTTCGAATCAAAAATGTCATGTCTTCATTCGAAGTCAACTCTTTTCCATGATCCTAGCTTCTATGGGTTTAGCAGTTTTTTGGCTCTTGCAAAAAACCTGTCAAAACAGAACCAAGATCTTAAAAACGTTACAGCGTTTTTTTCCGAACTTGTCTTATTTGACATGGCAATGCAAGAGCTCATAGTGTCTTTGGTGCCGAGAGATTTCTTTGGCCGAGAAAAGGAGCCGCTTTTGGCCTTGCTTCAGTACATGCGTGCACCCTGTTTACATACGAATTATGGAAATTTTCACGCGAGCGGTGAAAAGAAATTGCATGGGCCCTGCTAATTCTCGCTTCACCCTAGCATCGCAACCTTGGACTCATCGATTGCCTCTATTCACAGAAAGTTATTGTTTGTAGAACATTTATATAAAAAATCAATGGCAGCAAATTTTACTGGCAAGACGGTCTCTTCATGAAATTGAGCTTATGCCTGCGATCTCGTTAGACTGAGGAATTTATGAGTGCAGGGCGTTAGGCGACAAACCTAATCCTTTGGACTCCAAAAAACTCCCCGCGCAAAACATCTCCGGCGCCAAAAACAGGAAGGTGGGGCGCGGGGCTGATATATTACCCGATGTCATCGAAAAAATGGTGCATAGTTTTGAATTACGAGCTTTGCGTTGCTTGCGCTCTGCACGTTTTGTCGCCTAACGCTTGCCCTCAAATTTATCATAACTTGGTAAGTGTTAGAAAAAGCGAGAAAAGCGCTTTATAATGATACAGAGAGTACCGCATTAAACGTGGAATCCTCTTAGAACAGCTGCTTCAAGCATAAGGCAAAAGAATGGAATGGAACTTATGCAGCGGCCTAGTATATGGAGGGAATTGCTGATCTTTTTTCCTTGATAGCGTGGTTCAGGTAAAAACACATTACTTTTCTAATTTTTCATGTGGATGAAATGCATAAGAATTGCGTTTGCTTCAACACCAGATGAGGATGGCGCCCAAGCAACAACTTTATTTACATAATTATTGGCATAGCATGTTTGCGTCTGTCTTATATCTGTATCGCCGCGACCTTTTCGGGTCAAGGTTACTGTTTCTATTTGATTGTTCACCGTATCACTGCGCAGACGGGGAAAATGATTTTCTGCTCAAGCTTAAGCTTCCTTAAAATACTCTTTCTATCATAGTTGTCGCTTGACTAATCAATGCGCGGAGTACAGAAGAAGCCTCGAGAGCCCATAGCTTAGTCGCTGAGTTGATCGTCTACTCTTGTTTTTTTCTAAAATTATGAATTTCTGTAATGATTACCGGTGGGTAGCTCGCCGGGATAGCTTGGAGTCGTTGTAGTGGTTGCCGTAGTGGAAGTGGTGACACTTGTTATGGGGACCGTTGTCGAGCTCATCTCACATAACCCCGAGTTAGTATCACAGATTTCTCCCTTGATTGCATCACAGTCCGCATTAGTTTTGCAACCTCCATCTGGTGTAACATAGATAGTATTGCCATTCTTGAGTGGTCTGAAAGGTATTATATTTTCGAATGTATAAGCCACACCATCTTTGCTCTAAACGCGAGCAGAACCAGGCGTGCGCTGCGCATATGTCCGCGAAACGGTCGCTTTCTCGCACATTGCTCTCACTTAATACGCCTCATGGTAACAAACAGTCTTTTGGCGTGTTGGCCTTTAAAGCAAAGGGGTGCGGCTTATACACCTGGAATTAGGGTACTCTTCCCTTTTCCACTTGCCGATTCAACAGATCGCGGCAAATTTTCCATAAGCAAGCGTGCATAAAATTACTGTTTAGTGTCAACGAGGTTTTTACTTACTAAAGCACACAAGTTATCAGATCATCTCAAAACAAACTTATATTTTATATTACAGTTTGCTAGCGCAATCTTTCAATTAGCAGCGTGTAGGAATGGATAACATTTGCACTTTTATTCCACTTTGTGAAATATTGGTGGGGAAGTAGGTTTTACAACTTTTTCGTAGCTTTCTCTTTTTTTGGCGCATCTAGCCTTTGGCATTATACAGAACAGGTTGTGTGCAACAAGTGCAGCCTATTTGCAAATTTGTGCCATCGTGTGTGACAGTTACGGTATGTATACGAGGGACAAATTACAAGTGCGCAAAAATACAGATTGTATAGATTTAGCTGAAACTTGATATAGGAAGAGGGGGTATGCTCGACTGGATATAACAAAAATGATATCGTCAATTTTTGGAATAATGCGGACGGAGTCTTCCACGAAGACACCTGCTGGAGTTGATCATACTCATTTCGTGTCGTAGGATATTTTTTGTGAAGCTAAAGTAATCATGGTCTATTTCTGAAAACAAATAAATAATATAGTCGTGTTGAGCAGGTCACATCATCCCACACGGAAATTCTCGGCAAGTCTGACAGTTCCGACTCTTTGGCATTGATGGATCTCCGAAGCCGCTTTTGCGCATTTGGCTTCCTCGTCTTCTTGAGGGCGTCATATCTCGATTTGTTTTTGAATTACAAATTTTTTCTGAGTGGAGTCTCTTACTACGAACTGCTTGCAGTTTTGTCCTGATTGTGTTTGTTTTAGGTAGAGACCGGCTCCATTTTTGGAAAAACTGTAAAGCCTCAAATTTGCGGTTTTAGCGAAATGCGGAAAAAATTAGGTTTCAGCCGCACCTTCTTTTAGGCTTTTGCCACACTGCAATATTTTCGTCACAGAAAGCCAGTTAATTGGTGGTCTATATATGATTTACAAGCTTAATTCCCTGATTTTTAAGAGAGATTCAAACTTGACCCGCGTCTGTATTTCTGAGTAATAGTTCAAACACAACCATTGAGGCGAAAACTTAATAAACGAAATTTCGGCTGGACTTGTAATTTCTTGTCTGGCGGTTATTTGAAGTGTAATTTTCGACGCTGACCAGGAAAGAGTAGTGCTTTGCAGTGAGTACGAAAAGAGGCAGTCAACTTCTATTAAAACAAAGTCAGTTTTGTGTGAAAATAACTATTTTACTTAGGTATCCCATCAAATGCAGTCTTCAGTGATTTTGGACCAGTTATGAACATTTTTATCACGAAACTGATATTCATTGCACATGTAGAGTAGGAGACGACATTCCCAGACCTGAGCCTACCGTTTGCTACAGTAATCCCGAAAGTTGGGCCCTGTGCCTGCGTCCGCTAAGGACTAGTCTAAAGCTTTAATTTTGAAAGTTCTCAGCGCTCACCTCAGCGCGCTTAGTAATGTTCAACTCAAGCTCCTCATTTCTGACAGCTGCATTCACTTTATTTGCTATTCTGCGGCCTTACCATCTCAGGCTTATCAGTCAGGTTTCTTTCTAGGAACACTTTTGAGTGGTAGCCAATTGGGTCTTTTCTTATCGATTTCACAGCTTATAATTTCATGTACTCCTTGTGCTTTCTTTCTGCTTCGCGCCATGTTCGTTTTCTGCGTGATGCTTTGAGAAAAAAAATATGCGCCGTAGATCTATAGCTCAGAGTAAGTAAACCGCAGAACTTCCTATGGATCCGGTGATATAGATAATTATAAATTTGGCCTGCTCTGGTCTTCACAACTTACTATCAAAGCTTATCGGAGGGCATTCGTTCATCAGTAAAACTTTGTTTATGACGAATGTTGCCATTATTCTCAGTGATATGGATTTTCATTTTCGAAGGGCTGTACACGCAATATTCGATGTGATGCAGTTTTGTGATCTCATTCGGTGCGTATTCAAATTATTTGCTGGGAAAACAAGTAGGTACAGCTCGAAACTGGCATAAACTACAAAACGGGCAAATTGCATACCATAATGTTTTCTATGATTGAAAGCTTATCAGATTATGGCAGCAAAGCAAACTTACTAGGCAAAACGGCGGAATTGCGTTTGACATTATGCGCTTGCGATACTGCTTTCAAAGTTGAGGGAAGTAGTCACACGAGGAACTTGTCCACTTCCGCAGCGCTCCTCAGGCTAACGATTTGCAGCGGAAACAAACCAATCACGGCGTGATCTCTGAGGCATACTGGTCTTGAAACCATCGCGACCGGAGCACGTTCAAAAGGACCAAGCCCGGTGGGGTCTAATTTGCCTCAGTATTTCTCTGATTTGCAGGGGGTGAACTCCTAACATTTGGGTGCCTCACGCGTGACCCTGGTGAGAAAAGAGACCGACAAGTGCTGCATGAACGGTGATTTTCATAAATCACTAACTGGCACACCCGAATCTTTTGGCCTCTGATGGTATATCATAGCAGAAATTACTTAATGTCGCACCTCTGTATAATATTTCCCTGCGATATGACAGTTCTCTATTTCTTGGAATTTCGTAATAATCATACTACTTACTCTTCCACTGCATCTTTCAACTAACAATAAGCCAAAGCTTGCTGAAAAACTGATTCATTTTCTATCGATAACGAGAAGTTGCCCAGAACAGTAGCAGTCCAAGAAAAATTGGGGAGGAGGGGGAGTAGAGGAGGAGGAGGAGCAAAGACAAAGGAATCACTGACGAATCGTCGTGAGTTCAGCCCTGCCTCTCCAAGTTCATTGGGTTCTCATGTCTACCCAGCCATAATCCAAATTCTAGAGATTCTTTGGTGTGTCAGTTATACAAGTACCCAAATTTTACGACTACTAGACGCAAATACTTCGATTTTTTGAACGAACCGCTCAGCCGCCTCTTGGTTTTGGAAAAAGAAAGTTACACGATACTCTCGTGCAATACGCAGCACTGCATAGGGTCTTTTTGTCGCGAAATGTTTTGGCTGTGTTCAAAGTGTTCAGGCTGGTCGAATTTAGAAAAAAGGTGCATCTGTACTCTTGAAATTATTCCTTAAACACATGTAGGTTCTCTTTAAAAATTCCTTCCTCTGGAGTTGCTATGGAACTACGCACGTACATACCACTGACAGACGACGGACATTGAGCGCTGTATATATTATGTTGTTAAATAAGTCTTGTTACACTTTAATTTCTTACCACGATAACTCGTGAATTTCTCAATTTCAATAAAGCTCCAGGACACCATTCGATAGAGCAAAGCAAGCTCTACAAGGTTGTATTCAAAAGTTCGACCAACTTTGACCCACTGTAAGTTTGCATCCAGAGTCTGAGTCGTAATGTAGGCTCAAAAAATCGCGAAAAATTCATATCTTTGTTCAAAAAAATCCTACGGATCTCCAACTTGCTTTAAAAAATTGCCCACTATATCAAACACTCATACGTACCGTTAGCAACATGTGAGTGTCTGATGAAGTGTGCAAACTGCTTGAACAAGTTAGAGATGCGGAGGATTTTTTTGAACGAAGATATGAATTTTTCGCAATTTTCTGAGCCTCCAGTGCGACTTACATTTTGGATTCAAACTCACGGTGGGTCGGAGCTGGTGCGAACTTTTGCACAGCATCTTGTAGAGCTTGCTTTGCTCTATCGAAAGGTACTTCGTAGCTTCATTAAAACTAAGAAGTTCACGAGTTACCGTGGTAAGAAATTAAAGTGTAACAAGACTTATGTAACAACCTAATAAGATGACTGCTCACCATGGCTGTTATCTGACTATTCTACAAAGGCATCCATTATCTACTCACGGTTGGTCTGTACGGCAATAAAAAATTCTTTGTGTTATTTCGTCCTCATCTTCACAATCTGTATGTGCACATCCGATTTTTGTCATGGAACCTCGAATAAGCTGGAAACCAAAGTTTTGCTTGCCTGTCGAACTAATTGGACAAGAAAGTGACTTACATCTGCGTTGCCGCTTGCGCTTGTGCTCGCAACTTTATTGTTTTTTGAAGTAAATGGACTCGGGTTTGCGTCTGCCCATACGTCTATGTTACTAAGCATACTATCCATCATCGTCTTTATCGTTGCATTATCAGCGTCATGTCTGTAAGAACTCAATAAAGTAGAGTATTACATCTGTGTATGTATGAATATCTATAAACTTGCGTAATAATTAGGGAAGAATTTTCCACTTGCTCACTGCTTTACGGCACAGAGCAAGATCTTTGTTTCATACCGTTCTCAAGATAGGCGTAGCTGAAAAAGCCCAGTAGGGCGCACACACCACATAGTGCTTAAGTATACTTGCCTTAATACTTGACAGGGAGAGGAGTGTCTAAAAGAAAGCACATTGCAAGGACAAGCTAAGAAATTTTGCTTATACACTGATCATCTCGCTCCGCGTTCTTCCTTGGTTTCAGACCTCACAAATTGACCCGACGAAAGTTAGCCACCACTTTATTTAGTTTTTATCTTTTTCAAGCTAGAAAGGCTTTCTTACTGATCCTAGCCTTGCGCACTTATCATACTGCTTTTCGAGGACCTTTTCAAGCGCATCTATATCTCGGGGCAATTTTTGAAATTGTCCAGCTTTTTGAAAAAAAGTAAAATTAGCCTCAAAGAAAGCTGATTTATAGATACTTTTCGACGAACTTGGTTGTTAAATCATTCAACTCCTCGCTGAAGTAGCCCAGAACGCGCACAGAAATAAAAACCAGTGGCAAAAACAAGGATTTCTTCCGAGCTGGGGGGGGGGGGGGGGAAGGGGGGGGGGGGAAGGGAATGGGGAAGAGGGAACTTGTCTCGTTGCAACAAGAGTCACTTGGTCAATCATGCTTTTCAGAATCTTTGTGGACTTATAGTTCCAAGATTTTAGTACAAAATTGCCTTAACTTGAGTGCTCAGCAATAGTCAAGACCCATTACTTGGGAGTGCAGAACGGAAAAATCTTGTAGTTGTGTCGTATAGCTTAAATTGTTTTATTTACCCATAGACTCTTTTCAGCAGGCTTGAAATAAAGAATTTTACAGCCAGCAAAGTTTTGAGATATTATATTTATGTTGGAAAAGACTTTGTTTAGGGGGCAAGGGGCCTAGTGGTATGAGGCGTCGCTGTGACCTTTATACGGCTATCACCTCCACCTTTAGAAACTGCTAAACGTGTATAAATTCCACGGCATGTCAAACCAGTGGATCCATACCCGATGGGCTCGTCAAAACTTCTACCCTTTGGAGAAGGTAAATTTTAGCAGAGTAACCTAGAGAATTAAAGCACTGACTTGGAGACCGACTGACCGCGCAAGTCGTCAAGAAGATCTGGATGAATTCAATAATGTCGGCAATCCAGTAGTTCAGATTCAAAATGGAACGTCCGTCGCATATCCGCAGAGTTTGTTAGAAATGCCGAATTTACCTTTACTTTTGCAGAGTTTGTAAAAAAAGGGTTGTACTCGTATCAAAAGCATTTGGAAGTTCTTAGTCGAGTCGTATGTACAGCAAAGGAGCTCATTGTAAACAACTTAAACAACGTTGGAGACAACCTAATTGGTTTTCGTCTAGACTGTTGGTATTTTATACAACCATTGCTAACTACTGAAGGTTATATCAACATTCAGTGATATTGATGTAAGATAGAGGCAACCTACGTCAAGTACACGCCTGCACTGTTTACATCAGACTGCGGTGATTTAGCGCAGGTCGTAGCATCCAATGCAGCTTTAGCTGCGTTTTCCAAATTGCAGCTCCACCTCTAAATTGTTCGAGCTGAAGTCTAATAATATTTATTCTGTTCATTTGATATAGACAGAGAGTTCAAGAATTCTTCAGTCAAGCTGTTTGTGAACGCTTGTGCTCATGTTATGCAGATTTCTTCTTGCGTATAGAATGCTTTAACTTTATCTCGAGCCTGCAATGAAAGCTCAAAAAGGATTTTAAGACAGAAATTTGAGTTGAGGCTTGCGACTAGGTCAAATCGCTTTAACCGCAAAAAGTCAGACATTTCCCTAATGCTTGAGTAAAAGGCATTTAAAAGGCAGCTAAAAACCATTGCTTCCGACTCAGTTGAACTGCAAAGTATTCTACTCAAACACAGGTTTCTGGATACTTTCAAAAGCATCTTCAAGTTTAAATAGCAGATAATTGATGCTTTTGTAGGTACGACACGTTTGACTGAAGCAGCTGTTTTACACTTTTGAATTTGTATCTACTCAAAAAATTTTGGAAGCTAAGAAGTGCTCTTATGAATAAAAACTTCATCAGGTGGACCTATGATTTTGGCCAGCCTTCAAACCTGCTTTATTACATTTTTGAGTTTTTCTCAACCCAAACGAAAACGAGGCCCGTTTTGATAATGATAGTAGGCTTGTAAACACACAGCGTACCAAATTTTAGAGCAACTGGTTGACAACGAGTAAGTCACTGCATATTTCAGGGGCCTATAATTTTGCTCAGTCCTGTGTGAAGTTCTGAGCTAGGACATCCAGAAGTAACCATTCCGATGCTGACACTCATTCAAAATGCCATATCTTGATGCAGTAAGGGTTTTGGTAGTTGTCGTGAATTCTTTGAACCTAATATCTGCATTGTAGGAGTCACACTGCTTTCTTTCTCGCGGTTTTGGGAGAGGGCCCAAAACAGCACTGGTCACAAGTATGCCAGAATGAGATGAACAGCGATAGCATGATCGACTTATTTTTGATGTTTGAGCAGAGAGTCGTTTGCATCAATATATCAGAAAATAAGGACATTTTTCAAAAGATACTTGTATATGATACGTATTTGTTCTGTATGTTGTTTGCTGTGCAGTACTTCCCTAATCTTTGCAGCCGCATCTGACCTAACGTGCTGAGGCAAACATAAACTAAAGAATTAGATGCAAGACTCGCTATAAAAAAATTGCGGAAACGAAAGCTAGCAGCTTAATGAGGATATTTCGTTTTTTGTAACCAATGTCTCTTTGCGGTAAATAGAAATTTCCAAAATTATTTCTATGGATGGCAATCTGATGTGTTTTTACTACTATACCTTTTCACAGTTAAAACTTTGTAGCATGCCTGGACTTACGATTTTGTTCATTTTCTTTCCCGCCGGAAGCGAAGCAACTTTTCCTCTCACAACTCTCGAACGCTCAGCGTTGAGTGGTTTTAGTATTTCTTCGTTGATAACAGTTTCGTCCAAAACACCACCAGCATTACCACAGAGAACAGCTAAAAAAAGCCGAGCTTCTTTCTTGAAGCTGAGCTCTAAATGAGCAAACCTGGCGCGACTGATGGTACGAGTACCGCCTATAATTCAAAAAGATGATTTTTCGGAACTGCAAGGAACGAAGTGATTTACCAAAAGTAATAATGCAGGGTTTGCAAGCATGTTGCTGAATTCCCTCAAACCAACAGTTCTTCTGCTTTAATACCAGTTTATGCCTGCAAATGACATGGATTTTGAGCAAAGTTCACCGTGGTTTTATGTAATTTATGTAAATCGGAAGTATGTATCATTTTTTTGCGTACAATCGGCTTTGTCACTGTGTTATTGCATTGTTCTTGAGAGGTCTGCTACCTCTCTGAGGCACGTACTATCTCAATCGGACGCAAGCGTCCAGTTTCTGCGTGCGAGGTATTGCCTTTTTTCAAAACCGTTATCCCTCATTCGAGTGAAGACGCTGTGGTTTGTTCAGATTGACGTTCGTCATTGCATTGCGAATAAGCAGACCAAAACATCATGCACAGATTGTACAGAATGTCGATCGTTTGATTCTTAACAACTCTCTGGTACACCCAAAAACGGGTTCTTTATGACCTTTGAGGCAAAATTCTTGAGATCTTCATCCTGACATAGCACCCAATCCTTGATAATGAGTGTAGTATTGTCTTGTTATCCTCAATTTTCGTTTTTTTTTGCCCTAAAGCTGAGGATTGGTCTTGTGCGTTGTTTGAACTTTCTTTTCTCAGACAGTCGAAGGGATACCTCCGGGGGGCAAATGGCACGAGTCTGCCACTTCGCGCTCTGCAGCGCCCCGGAGCCTTGCCATTTCACCCATGTTGGTACTTCGGGGCTCTCCCAAATCTGGCGCACCTCCGGAGCAGAGATTTGCGCGTCCCGGAGAGGGGTCCCATTCGTTTACGGTGACGTCACCGTGACGTCACGGTGACGTCACAAGCAGGCTCTTTAATTTTTGATGCATTTTAAGTGCACTTATATTATAGAATGAAAAATAAACAATAAGAATTTTTCTCGTTTCTTTGAACAGTATAGTAAAGCTGACTTCAAATTAGTTTACAGTATGAAGTTAGTCATCAATCGCTTTTTATTACTATTATTAGGTTTGAAGAGGATTTGAGCCTTTGAAGGACCATTTTGCCTTAGAAGCACTATCAAACAGCCCAGGAACTCTTACACTACGATGATCAGTGCCATTGACGCTAAATGTGAACTTTGCACTTCCGCAATGCTTCATTCGTAAATCACGCTATATGTACGGCATTAGCTGATTTACAAAGCTTGGCTGAATCACCTAACAAAAAGTTGAGGTTGAGTAGTAAAGTTGAGTAATGAAATTAGCGTGAAACCGTAGAGTCACGTATTGGCCGATTTTAGTATTCTCCTTTTAGAAAGCCGACGCACATTCTCATGGCGGATCGGGAACGTAGGTGGTGTTTATCCTCAAGTTTTGAGAAAAGCAAAAGTCAAGAAAGTGGACCCGAGAAAGAAGTGCAGCATAATAACCTGGGAACAGGTGAGAAACCCTGTAGATCGTAGCATCCAACAAGGAAAGGCAAGGTAAATTTTCTAAGAAAATCTAAGATATTTAATGATTTTCCTTGAAGTAATTCCGCGTATGTTGCCTTGTCTTCGAAGATAGATTATTACCTGCGAGTTGTGCAGAAATTAAAACTTTACTGAAACGGTACGAATGCGTGGTACAAACTTCTCGAAATATTTTGGAATTATCTTTGGTGCGACGGCTGCCGATCCGATATGCATATCGTACTGTAATCTTAAGTAATAAGGAGCAATTTTTACTTTGCTCCATGATCTGAATCAAGCGGGGAAAGGACACTTGGTGACCGTTTCCGATATGTGACATATGCTATGACATTCGCGTTGAATTGCTGATCTTCAAACTGTGTCCGTTATCTGCGGACTGATTGTTCAAAAAAAACGCATCTCTTCGCATCCGACGCGTCTGCACAAGAGTACAAGTAATGTAGACAAGTACCAGAAGCGTCGAATGGTGTGGCGGTTAGCGCTGTGGATTATTGCGCAAGGGATGGCGGTTTGATCTCAGTCGGTGCAGATATTTCTGCTTGAGCTTTCAAGAATTATTGCGAAAAGCCGCAGAAAGCCTTTCAGAAAAGCCTTCCGCAGATAACGAACGCAGATTCGAAGTCAGCGTCCGAAGACGAGCATTCTGATATACATATCATTCATTCTCTGACTAGGAGACGCGAGACCGTCTTGCACACATTGTCGAAACAAGCTTCGTCGCGTACTTAGCAGGTTTATGCTTGTTATTTATCTCGTCCAAGTTTATTCACTCTTTGAACACAAGGAAGAACAAACTTAAACTTGTCAGGACAATATCCGCAGTGCGGTCTCACGTTTCAGTCATAGAATAGATGATACCTTCGGTACCTAGAACCATTTACTCTGGTGATGACCTTCACTTCGAGTTATAGGAGATCGCAACCTTCATCAAAAACAGAATCAGCCGGGGCTTCGCCCGGAGGTTGAGATCATAACTATGTGAGAAAGAATGGGAGTGAAGTAAGTGTGGTGAGTAATATCTTGAAAATTACCCAACAAAACCAAATTGCTTTTATATAGCCTTTTTTGAGCTAAACCAGGTTTTTGTATTAATTTTTATTTATAGATTTTAGGACAACATTTCTCAAGTGACTTCTTTTAGACTACAACTGAGTTTCAAAAACTCACAAGAGCTTTTGTAGATTAACAAAAACAAGAAACTGCACTTAGTACGTGCGCAGAGGGTCGTTCACGGAAATGCTGATTTATGTAGTTAAAAAATGATTTTCGGCGATGTTGTCAGTGCTTCTAATCGTGTCATGACGACTAGAACGATACATAATATTGCAGGGTTTCATTGAGACGCGGAGGAGATTCGACCAGAGACAAATGCCTCGTCGACTCTGATCCTTCCTTCACCTCTGCTCGTCTCCGTCCGCGCGCTACCTCGCTACCCCAAACGGTGGGCAAGGAGCATTCGGCTCTGGTACCCTTTTCTTCGTTATTCCAAACTTAGTTCTAGCAAACTGTATATCACGTGGGAGGCGTCGGCTTTGTCGTCCACCCATCTATCGTCCATCTTGTCGATTCGCACGAGATCCTATCACCTCGACTAGGCATCCTACGACTACGACCTCCACATCAGAAGACCATCAGCATCATCAACTGCTATTCTCCAACATCAGCAGCTGACGAATCAGAACTAGATGCTTTCTACGAAGATGTGGAGGAGGTCGTCCGCAACGAGAAGTCCTTTTACAAGTTTGTTTGGGCGACTTCAACGCGAAAATCGGGATGCCACTGGAAAGGGAATATAGGATCGGGAAGTTTGGATATGGGCTCCGGAACGAAAACGGCAACCGTCTTGTTGGGCTTCTCTCCGCCGCACGACTTTTCCATGGAAATTCCATCTTTATGAAGAAGGAACATCGCCGGTGGACATGGGAATCGCCCAACGGAACGACCCACGCGGAGATCGACCACATTCTCACCAACCGAAGGTGGAGCTTACTCGATGTCTCTGTAGTTCCATCCTTCTGTAGTGGCTCCGATCACCGCCTCCTTCGAGCGAAGATACGACTCAGCCGAAGGCTGGAAAAGAAAGTCTGTCATAGTGCCGCGAGAAGGAAGGAAGTCGTTTATGACGGTAACAGGCTGGAAGAGCTCATATCAAGTTGTGACTGGCCCATCGAGGAGGACCCAACGTACGACTACGACCGGCTTCTGAAAGGATTGCGAGCCTGCGGAGAATGCGCCTCAGTGACTTCTGAGAAGAACTTGGACCGCATCTCGAAGACCACCAAGGAATTGCTCGAAAGAAGAAGATCATTGAGGTAGGATCCGAATGCAACTCATCTCGAGCGACTGATTGCCAACACCAGTTGCAGAACAGCTTTGCAAGAGGATCTCAGGAAGTACAGGCAAGCCAAGATACTGGAAGCAGCAGAAAGAAGACGAAGTCTCAAGAAGTGCCGAAGGGACCTCTGCGAATATCACGTACCGCTGGCTGCACTACTGAACGAAGACGGGACTCCGACTTCTTCCCGATACAAGATGGAATCTATCGCGAAGAACTTCTACACCAACCTCTTCCGCTCATCAACACCCGTGCAGATGCCCGTTGTTCCCACTGGAGAAGTACCACCACGAATTCTACCTGCTGAAGTGCGTATCGCGATACAGACCATGAAGACGTCCACGGCTCCAGGACCAGATCATCTTTCCGTCGAACTTCTGCGAGCCGGAGGACACCGTCTACACGAGATTCTAGCGTCGCATTTGACATCTTACCTTCAGAAGGAGAAGATTCCCGACCAGTGGAGAACGTCAAGAACCGTCCTTCTCTTCAAGAAGGGTGAACGGGAGGATCTTCGGAACTATCGTCCAATATGCCTGCTGAGTGTGCTGTACAAGCTTTTCACGAAGATTATCCTCGCTCGCATATCAAGGACACTGGATGAAGCCCAACCCCAAGAACAAGCTGGATTTCGCAAAGGATTCAGCTGCATGGACCACATCCAGACCGTTTCGAGGGTCATAGAAGTTTGCCGGGAGTACCGACTGCCTCTCGTCCTAACCTTTGTCGACTACGAGAAAGCCTTCGACAGCGTCGAAACCAACGCCATCCTGTCTGCGCTAGTCGATCAAGGAGTGGACCCAGCTTACGTGAGGACGTTAGCCGACTGCTACAAGGACTGTACAACGACGATGCAGCTATTCCATCGCCCCCTGACCATACCAATCGGGAAGGGGGTCCGACAAGGCGACACAATCTCGCCGAAGCTGTTCACCGCGGCCTTGCAGTGGGTGATGAAGTCACTGGACTGGGACGAGAGAGGCATACGAGTTGATGGGAGATTCCTGTCCAACCTTCGTTTTGCGGACGACATCGTTCTCTTCTCGAGCAGTATCACCGAAGCAGAGACGATGCTGAAGGAACTAAACGAAGTAGGGAAGAAGATCGGACTGCGAATAAATCGGAAGAAGACTCAGTTCATGAAGAACGCCCTTTGCGAAGATGCAGAAATGGAATTGGAAGGCACCCCGATTATGGAGACGTCTTCCTACGTGTATCTCGGCGTTCGATGAACATGGAGAACGACTTGAGGGAAGAACTTAACAGGAGAAGAAGAGCAGCCTGGGCCGCCTTCGGGCCCCTGAAGGAAGCCACCGACCA